TAGCCCCGATGGATACGGGAATGACATAATCACTTGTGGTTCTGTTATTCCCTAACTGAATGACATCCCAACGATGACTCAATTCTAAGGTGTGTGTATCCGTGCCGAGAGGATGAATAACACTGAGCCTATCAGCTGTCACCACGGAACCTTCGAGATACCGGGCATCCTCTCGTCGTATCATCGCCATGTCACGGTAATGCCGGCCTCTGTCGTGATTGACTTTCTTTTCCTAACTACTCGTAGGACTTTTATGGACGCAGAGTCGACTGAGGAGATGAATATCGAGCTTACGACTCCAACTGACCTCCCTGTAAATTCAGATCAGGGGCGAGAGCTTCTCAACTCCCAAACTCCTGAGCCAATAACTGAACCTAAAAAAAAAGGTTTGGTGGTGCAGCCAGGAAACGACTGAGTCATCTCCTCAAGAGCGCAGTACCTTATGAAACTGCCTTGCACCAAATTCTTGAGCGGCGTACGCAGTATCTGTCTGAGGTAGAGGATCAAACCCCCCATTAGCAGGTAGCAAATGTTTGTGATGATTTTCCAAAGCCAGAGGCAAAAAAGCCCTGTTTCGTCACGTGTAGCTGACGTGCAAAAATTCTCATTTGGGAAGGTTGTCGCGGTTATCAAGATGGGAATCTTGCAACTTGACTATCCGACTACCTCATTACCGATGAAATAGTAGATCATATACGTTGTGCCTGCCCCGCTGGGGATCGAATCAGGTTTATAGAGTTCGGCAGAGCCGTACTCTTACCATCTGACCTGAAAGATCACTCGCCATACAAACTAATCAGCTTCGTTAAGAAGCTGGGTTGATTTGGTCGAGTGTAAATAGGTAGCAACCCTTGCAGGTTGCGGTGGATGTCTAATAAACCCACTCAATTTGGACCTAGCCTAACACAACCTATATAGTTTTGGTCCATAATAGAAAAATGATTTATGTGTTAGAGATGTATCAAAGAAAACAACATTCATATTCCGATTTGTGGCTGCCCGAGTGTTAGACTTTTTCCTTTCAAATGATTCACTCTTGAGATAAACTCGTAGTAGGCATTGGTAAGTGTAGATTTGTCTGACTGAATAGTTCAGTTTCTTCATATATAAGTTGAGTTGGAAATCGCCTTTTTTTACGAAGTATGTTTTATAAAAGAGTGTTTTGGGTGATTTGTGAATTTTGTAAGGTTGTTGTGAATGTGCCACCCCAGGTAGTCATAAAGTATCTTAAATTTGATTCGCATAGTGAATTGTACATCATCATCAAAATGCTATAAAGAGCGGATCTATTTCATACCACATGAATTTTGGCTCATGGTTGTTTACAGTGGCTTAATACCCTGATTAATCACCTCAGCAATAATTTCATATGCAGATGACATAGTTACCTTGTAGACCGGCAAACTTGTGAACACACTGTACGATAGAGCACAGAATGGGCTCAAATTAATATAACCATGATGTGAGTAAGACTCCCAAGAAGGCTGAGATGGTCCTTTTCACCAGGAAAAAAAGTTTATAGGACAAGAAGAGCATATGTGGCTTGTTAACGTACGGAGCCATTGCATTGGGTTTGGTTAGGTTAGGTCCAAAATGAGTAGCTCTATTTGACCCTCCACTGCTTTGCATTGGGACCGAAAGTTTTACAAGCAACGACCATCCAAAAATTATATCAAATACAGCGATTGGCTTGTTCAAACATCGCAGGAGCCATGAGGATAACATCAACCGCGGCAATGGATTCAATTACTGGTCTGACCCCTCTCTGGACTTGTACGTTAAGGAGGTTGCCCTAATGGCCATTTTACAATTGCGCATGGCTGGTGTGAACTTCGAAGTGGACATGGGTCAATTGAGGCTGAGCCTATGGCGAGAAGCGCTTACTGCGCAACCACTGCTGTAGGCAACCAGTGATGCAATTGTACCCAGGTTTTTGTTTGATAAACCCTACAAAATACAAATGAAACAGAATAGTGTCAGATGCTACAAATACAATACGCATAAATACAAACGGCTCGAAAACCAAAGAAGGTTCAGGATGTGGAGTGTACTTCAGCCTAAGCCTAAAGATTAAGTGCAGGATGGAAAAAAATACCAGCGTGGTTCAAACAGAACTGACTGGTGTCTCAATCGCTACAAAAGAAGTAAACAGAGAAGGAATTTTTTGCAAAAACATAACAATTTGCACTGATAACAAGTCCTATTAGGCTTGAACAGACAACGTGTTACCTCAGGGCTAGAACAAGAGTGCCACCAAGATTTAGCCAAAGTCTCGCTAGATAATAACGTTATCCTAAGATGGGTTGAAAGGTACGGCAGGAGTGAAGGTGATCGATTTGCTGACTCTTTAGCCAAGGGAGCGGCTGGACTAAAAATTTCAGGACCTCAGTGGACTTCAACAATTGCGGAACTAGCCAAACGTCACACCCATGCTCAATTCCTAAAGAGATGGGATGAAATCAAAGAATGCAATCTTGACAGGATCACCCTGGGCGACCCTGAGAAGCTGTCGCCGAAGAAATTTCTGGCGATGATCCGGAAAAATCTACGCTTAATAGAAGGATAAGAATAATAACGTAACTCATGTGCGAATGAAATGATGTAAAATATGTTGTTTTGAGTGAATTTAAATTGATTATAATTTAAAGTTGTCGTAAGGCCGAACAGGTCACTGCAGAGTTTACTTTTCAATTTGGTAATATGAGGTTTCCAAGATAGATCCAGAGTTACTCCTAGTGAACTTTCAGAATGAATTTCTATGGCATTCGTAGATAAAAGATAAATTGACTGTGACTAATCTTTGTTAAGTTTGAGTTTATTGGTTGCGAACTAGTTTCGGATTTATTGGCGAAATCTTCATGATTTCTGTGCAGATCTGATCTCAGTTTACCAGAATGGATGAACGTCATACCATCTGCAAACAAAATAGTTTTCACCGGAACCATATAGTTACTCAAGTCGTTAGTGTATACTATGAATAACAACGGTCCTAATATTGAACCTTGACGGACACCATACTCATTGTATTTGAAATCAGATAAGGAATTTTCAATACTTATCGCTTGAAAGCGGTTTTCCAAATTTTATTGTATCAGATTGAGTGGTACCCCCTAACCTGTAACAGATTCATTTTTCAAGCAATATATCATGTGAAACGCAATCAAATGCCTTGGAAAGATCACGCAAATTGATCCAAAGTAGATACTATGTCTTTCTTGACATTAAAACACTTGCGTGATGGTTTGGTGTGTAGCGATGCTGTATTAGTATGTTTTATTTCGTGAAGCTATTGTATCAAAAAGACGACATTTTCTACATCTAGGAAGTTGATCATCCTGTTCAATCTACATGTTCAACTTCCATTCATATAATTGGTAAAACCACTCATATCATTATAGCTTTCATACCAAAAATGATAGCAATGATATCTCTGCAAAACGTTTGGATTGGAAAATGGAAATTCCTCTTCAAAAGGTCGATGAAACACCCTGATTTTCCCACAAACAATATATTTTGTTGATTTTATCATTTGTTTTTTGTTTGTTCCTTAGAAAACTTAGGAGTCAGTTGTTCAAACCATCAATTATGACTTGAAATTTCTTCAAGAAAATTGTTCTAGTATGGACATTTTGACCAACCAGATTTCTATATCCTTTGCCCGTGTTTGTTATCCCCGCCCCTGGTTCGTCCTAGGAATGCGGGATATCACGTCAAAGCAACAGCGGAAGCTCTAGCAGATGTTCTTCTAGCCTAAGGTATCTAGATTGATGTACTGCTTCGCCGTTGTTTCACGGAACGTCCGCAATTAAAGCTAGTTACTATATTGCAAAAATAAAATAGTCAGATACACGATTTATGAAGGAGAAAATTGAAAAGAAGCATTACGTTCAATTAATAGAAACATGCTGGTTGGAATTACTCGAGGTGCAGGGAAGAGCAGGAGATTGTAAAAATATTATACCGGTTGAAGACTCTTTCAATTCATAGTCCAGCGGAAAGAAAGATTGATTTGTGTTCAGTACTATTTAATTATATTGTAATGAAATGTTTATATTGTGAGAAAGATGAGAGGGATGAAGGAAAAACTATATAGAGTCTCAGGCTGTGGATCAGCCCCGGTTTTTTTTGGCGGGGCAAAAACTCAGTATGAACATAGGCCTTCCAGAAATAATGCATCCATCGCTATTCTTTCTGTATTGAGCCTATTCACTAGGGGTCGCCAAGTTCTTGAAAATTTCAAGATCTTGTCTTGATTTCAAGACAAGACAAAAAGTACTTTTAGATTTCAAGTTGAGACAATTGTTAATACAAATATTTCTTGTCAAGAAAACAACAAATTTCGAAATATCTTGACTAACAATGAAAACCCTGAAACATATTTATTTGCGAAAAAGATGATATATTTTAACGTAACATAACATGTTTTGATTTATTGAACAGTTTTTTCGCTAAAACCTTTCGCAAAAATGTAAATTGAAAATAATAAAATTATATTTATTCACTTAATCCTAGATTAAGTGAATAAACAAATTTAGTACTATTTTATTGAATCTCAACAAACATTCTCTTCACTCTGACTTTTGTTCATTCAATCTAAAATACTATTACTTCCACTTTCACTTGATGCAGAACATTGAAACTTGCGTCAATCAGCCCACATAGCAATAGATATTCCAGGTATATTTCATGAATATACATTTAAGGATATTGTATGGATATATATATCTTCTGGAGAATATTCCCTGGAAGTGCTCCTGGCGAACCTTTGATATATTTTAAGAATATTCCTTGGGAATATTCTTGGAATATCTTATAATATTCTTAGAATATTTGGAATATTCCAAGAATGTGACGAGTAAACGCTATTAGGCATGTATATATTGCATTTTGATGCAAGATTCACACAAGTAATAAAACACATAATATTCATATACAAATATATTTTAAAAACAATATACACTGAAATATTTGACGTTTCAACCAATATTAAAAATAAAAAATCTAATTCAAAATATTTATTCACTGAATAATATATTCCTGAATACTGTCATATTACAAATATTAGAAATGTATTCAAATTAGGATGTTCCTACTCTCAAACAAATGTATACTAAAAATATACTAAAATAACAACTCTGTGAATTCATTAGCACTAATTAAAAAATAATAAATATATTATTTCATTGAAAAAGAAAAAGTGTATTACATCAAGAAATAGGTTAGGTTAGGTTTCTCACTTAGAAAAATAAACCCACAAATGAAGTATTTAAAATGAGTGGTATGATGGGTTCTTCAATGAATTTCACTTACTTAAAGTTATCCAAACTCTGCTCACCAGAATAGTTTTCCTTATATTTGTCCAACAATGCATCAGCCAGTGTTTCAATAGTAATACCTGAAACAAAATGTATATTAACGTTCATTATCACTATTTGAAAGTGGCACAATAAAACTGGAATAAAAATCAAATAGATATTTTTCGCATAGGTTACTCATGAACATTTACAACATTTTATGACTTGGAGAGCAACTTACATTGTCTTGTTGAAAAGTACTCATTACGTTTTCAGTTCCTTGGCGCACCTGCCTGTACCAGGTACCACTCTGTTTCCTTTTGGGCAAATTGATACTATCTTGAAAACGAGTGATAAAAATTATGAAAACAAATGATACAAGAGAATGTGTCATTCACTTACTTTTCTCTATTGAAGATACGTACACAACTGAAATCACTCTAGTTCAAACATGTACTTAGTCAAACCAACAAATCCCACACACCAACTCTCCTCGAACCTAAAATGAGGTACAGTAGGTTAATCACCATGACTTTACTATCGATACTATTGCATTTTACTTACTTTTCTTGAAGACTGAATATATGCAACTCTCCTGTTTGAAGATCCAAAATCAAACTATTCGCTGTACTGCAAATTGGACAACCCCAAATTATAAATGGTACACTGAACGTGACAGAATTATACTTTGATAATAACACCAACACACCATGCATTACACACGCGAACCTGCCACGTCAACCGCCATGTTGAATCAAATGTCGAATTCAACGCAAAGGTCCTAAGCATTAAGGGACAGCCGCTTTCACAGAGCTTATTCGACTGTCGCGCGCTATACTTCAATTGACCAATGAGAAACGTTTACTCCAATTCTTCACTTCCCCATTTCTCTGTTTCCAGGATTTTCCGCTTTGTAATTAAATAATTTCAAATACAAAAAGACAAATAGGATGAGAATTAACCAATTTATTGATGCAATTGGTTCATTTATTGGCCCATTCAAATTTTTTGTCATTTCCAACAGTTGCTGTTGGAGCAATTCATCCAGAATCTTCGCGTTGAGTTCAAAAACTGGTTAACACTATCAGGGTTATATACATTAGGTTATGCATTCGATTTAGATCTTCAAATATTTTTGTTTTTAATAATATTGAATTATTTGAATACGTTATTATAAGATAATTCAAAATTCCATTGTATAGAATAAACCAAAATATACCGTGGGGATATATTCTAAGAATATACCATATGGTATATTCGATCGACAATATTCTTAGAATATTCAAGGGAAAATATTCCATTTATAGACATTCTATGCACATTCTTTCGGGAATAATCTTGCCATATTCATTCAAGCATATTCTATGAATATTCTAAAGGCATGTATATATTCCAAGAATATTCTATGAATATTTGGAATATATACATTCGTTTTATGATATACAGGGAATATTCCATGAATATCTGGTGCTGTGTGGGAGGCACCCCTTGAGAAAACTCTTTGTCAAATAACATCCTATGCTTTGCTTTCAAATGTTTTTCAACACAGAATTTCTTGAATTTTTCATTTTTAGGAAAACACTTTTATTATGTTTTTGAAAACATGGTATACATTTGGATAATTTATCATTTTTGTTTTGGTACTGGTGTCCACCTCAATTTCAAGAAAGTCACAGAATTTTTTTCTGTCTGTAGTGTCAGTATCGCCTCTAGTGCCTCTACTACTAATACTACCACTACCTGCATATATAAATGCTGCTGCCACTATTGCGGACAGCTAGAGTATCACTGGTTTCAGTGAGTAGGTTTCACTAGTAGCCGCGTTGGTCTCGCTGATTATTTCATATTTACCTGAACCGTAATGCTTACGTTTCTGTCTATTGCATTTTGGTAAATATTCTGGGCCAGGATCGGAGCCAAATAGCTCAGCAGACATATTTATTGAAGAGTAACTCTCTCATAGTGAAAAATAAGTGATAATTTTGATATAATGTACTTTTTATCACCAATATTCACAAACTAGCATCAGAAATATAACGAAACCGGTACAGAATACTTGGTCAGTGGCAGAAATAAGTAGGGTGAGGGATACCAAAATTCCCCAAAAGCCTTTGCGAAACATGCCACCGTAGACCAGCCTACCCAAGCTAAGGTGCAAGGAATCGTGCCGACAGCTGAATGGCCGCAGGGTGATATGCGTTTACGAACGATCTCCTTGGGGAACTGTGCGAACCCTCATTGTACTCAGCCTTCCTTTGGTAATGCCGGGCTCTGCCAGAGTGACCAACTCTTTCCTTGCTACTCGAGGGACATACATGAATAATACAAACACAAAAATTGACACCGAAAAAACAAAAACCAATCCCGAAGCTGGACAGAAATTGTCGGTAACTGGGGATGAACAGAAATGTCCACCCCAATCTACCACTTGGAATGAGGCTGGACCTGGCAGATCACCTCGTGATATAATACAAAGGCCAAGGCATAAGCGCATTTGCGGCGCCGAGGCCAAAAGGAGAAAGAAAGCGATAGAAGTTGGAGTGGTATCAATTATAAGTGCACCCTCCTCCTCCCCCACTCCACCTCCAATAGCAAGGGTATTCCTGCGGTGGGCGCCAAGAGCTCCGCCATGAATAAAAGCAAGGAACCGGCTGCATCTATAGGTAAGCGCTCTTGTTCAAGCACCTGCACGAAAATAATCCCAAGAAGGTTGAAGAAGCCGCGCAACGACATTAATGTCGCTGCACCTTCCAAAACCTTCACGAAGGTCACCATGAGACACCTCAAAGTTGCCAAAGAGAGTGTGTGTTCGGCGAGTCTTAGCCTTCACCTGCCAATTTAAAGGAGATGTCTCCTAGTGACCTGTCCACATCTCGAAAAGGACAGAATCGACGATGACCTAGGAGGACAACTCCTAGGGAGGATGTATAATGGGTCACATGTTGCCTACTCTAAAAATATATAAATCCATGGCCTTGTCATAATTTAACTCATGCGTAATTCGATTTTTTACCGCAATTATTGCAACACTCGATAAGCGTTTTCGACTCATAGGAGATCGCAAATAATTTTTAATCAGTTTTAGTTTGCGGGTGTAGTAGGACGCGTAGCGTAGAGAGAATTCGCAGGGCAATAGAAACATTGAAAAAAGCATACTGTAAATCATGCGCATAGATCTGTTGCAAGAGATAGAAACCGATAGCCTTTTCTATATCACCAAATAAAAGTGGAGCTTGCTATTTGAAAACGTAGAGTTCCTGGCAGAATTCAACGGTACATAAATCTCGCTCATATTTTCGAGCCAAATCTGCGACATACTTTTGCAATTCTTCAACTGACATTTTCTAAATATCACTGCCATTGAGAAAAGCAAAATTCAGCATGGTAGCACATTCAAATTTCTCTGTGATTTCTAATATGATTCGATCAAATACCATCATTATTTCTTTAGAAAATAATTGAAGAGATTAGAGCGTTTGTAATTCGTCTCCACACATTTCATCGAAATGTTTTCCACGTTTCGGAATTCGTTTGTTTTGCAAAATAGACTCAACACCAGTTTTTTCATTAACTTTTCCAGCCTCTTTTATTCAAGATTCCACTGAAATCTGTCACATTTCCTGCAAAGTTTTGAGCAGACCATCCATTAGTGTGATAATGGCAAGAATAATGTCTTCTTTCCGAATTTCTATATTCACTCCATTGATTTCCCGAAGAATATTTACCCAAGTAGCTAAATTAAGAATGAATTTGGAATTCTTCGTAGCAGTTGAGAGATTACCTGCCTTGTACTTAGCTTCTGGAGCATAAGAAATTTGCCTCACTTCTTCTAAGACTTTCGCTACTTCTGGCAAATTATTCAATATGGCATTCACAGCAACCTTTTGAAACAGTTCCATCATATTTTGTTCATAATGTCCCACCTAGTAGTAGAGCCAACAAAAAAGCAATATACTTTTTGAATCAATCCAAATAGGTTAAAAGCTTCCGGACATGATGAGGTAGAATGAACACCTAAACGATATAAGGATTGAGGCAAGCACGGTACGAACTTGCCAGCTCATTCCTCTCTGCGATCCTGTTTTGTAGGCCACGAAATTGTCCAATATCTGAATCATCAACTGCCAATTTTTCTATTTCAATCAGTGGACTAAAATTCATCCATCATTTTGGGCATAGTCCTCTCGTAGGACGATTATGAATGAGCGAAGCGTGCGGTACGTTGCCCGAACAGATTACCCATTTTGATAAAACATTTTTTTTATTTGCACGAATAGATCACCCATTTTGATAATACAAATTTTTTATTTGCACGTGTTGTTGAATGCTCTATCCGTCCATGGTGATTTGGCAACACGAACTCAAGAAATAACAACTGATTTGACAGATTTAGCTTTAACAAGATGGCCGTTATCAATTGTCAAGTTCGGAAGTCCCTGTGGAAAGATTCTATATTTATGATTTGTTCAATTTGTCTGTTTTGAATGCTTTGTTTAATGAACAACAATATCGTTATTATTATAACTTGTTATTTTAGAAACTGCTAAAGAAAATATGATGCAACTTCACGTTCAAATATTGTTTTCCAAGGAAGAATTTCTTCTGGTTTGTCAAGTTCGGAAGTCCCTGTGGAAAGATTCTATATTTATGATTTGTTCAATTTGTCTATTTTGAATGCTTTGTTTAATGAACAACAATATCGTTATTATTATAACTTGTCATTTTAGAAACTGCTAAAGAAAATATGATGCAACTTCACGTTCAAATATTGTTTTCCAAGGAAGAATTTCTTCTGGTTTCAAAACCACTTCCGGGATTTTTTTTTTCACCAAAGAAGTTGTTCCAATTACCGTCGACTATTCACGCAGAACGAAATTCGGCCGAAATTTTGATAAGCATCAAAAAGAACAAGGAAGCGTCTTGCTGAATGAGTCGCTAAAGCGAGGACAAATTAAATCGATCAACCGCGCAATACAAAAACCAAGAATTCCCAATCTCATACGTTAATCTTCAATCATGAAATGATTAGCAAAAAGACTTTGCCGCATCAGTAGTTATGGCTGATATTAGTTTCACCTGACCAGCCTACTTAGATAAGCCATATTTGAAGAAAATCGAAAGTTATTTAAACTGGAGCAAATCTCAGTCGCCTCGAGGGACGTATCTATGGACGGAAGACTGCTTAAATTATTTGTCTTATATCAAACTCGAGCTTGCTCATGGTAATTTATAATTGGATTGAATGTTCTTTTTCAACATGAGTTTTGACATTCATAACTATGGGTGGAGATCTTGTAATCGATAAGAGATTTTTATATTCCGAAACAAAAGAAATTTTCTTTTATTCTTACTCAAAACTTTTTTTCAGTACCGTATGGGATGAAGTACTATA